CGCTGTTCCCTGGCTCCACGCTGCGCACGGAGCCCGGGGTGCCGCCAGGGATGGAAGCGGCTAGTCTAGTCACTACTCAACTACTCACCCTGTATCAGACGCAGAAAGGGGGGAGAGGAGCCGGTGCTGGGGGGAGCCAGCTTAAAAGCAGATTCCCCCCAGCACCATCCGTGCAGCGAGGGGACAGGGGAGGCAGAGGCGCAGCGGTCTGGGTCCTGGCGGGAGCCAGGGCTCGGGCTGGGTCCCGGACTCTGCAGAGCAAGGATACGTCTAGACTCCAGGCTTTTGCTGACAGAGGCTTTGTGGCCAGGCGAGAAAGAGCCGCGCTGTCGACAGAGCACAGGCAATAGCCGCCTGGCCACGGAGCTGTCGGCAAGAGGCGTATTCCCCGCAGGATCCGCTTTGCCGCCGCCGCTGTGGCCAGTGACCACAGGACGCGGCGGCAGTGGAGACGCAGGGATAGTTTTGTCGACAAAACCCTGCAGTCTAGACACACCCCGAGTGTAGTAGGAGCCAGCCTGCCTGCCCGCCCGGCCCCTACAGCGTTTAAACTGCAGAGCCGCAGCGGGGCCCGGTCGACTAGTCGTGTGGTCGACACAAATCGTCAGCTTCCTGCTTGATCTCTGTCTTCGGTCCACCCTCTCTGGGGCACCTGGTGCTGGCCACTGTCAGCAGACAGGCTACTGGGCTAGATGGAGCTTTGGTCTGACCCAGTACGGCCATTCTTATGTTCTTATTGTAATGCTTAATTAGACACTTCCTACAGTGATGGAAAGGAGTTTTCTATTGCTATAGTAAATCCACTCCCTCAAGAGGCAGTAGCTAGGTTGGATGAAGAATTCTTCCCTTTACCTAGCAATGTCCATAAAAGGGCTTAGGACTTAACTACATCTCACAGGAGTATGGTATTTTTCACAATCCTTAGTGACATAGATAGGCTGACCTAAGTTTTAGGTGTAGACCATACATAGGATTCTAACAAATTCATGGCCAAGAAAAATCTGGTTTCCCGCCATCGGGGGGGTGTGTGTGTGTGTGTGTGTGTGTGTGTGTGTGTGTGTGTGTGTGTGTGTGTGTGTGTGTGTGTGTGTGTGTGTGTGTGTGTGTGTGTT